AAGTCATGGTTGTACGGCAGTGAAGCATCGGTGTTGAACACTGATGTCATGCTGTCGATGATGATGATGATGATGATGATGATGATGATGATGATGATGATGATGATGATGATGATTCATTGAAAGACACTCATCGAGAGAATATCGCCGTCTTGTACATCGTAAAGAACTCGGACATAACTGAAATAGCAGGCGACTTTAGTGCACAGTTAGGTTGCCTCAGTTTATCAGAGGCATGACTTGATGTTATGGTTAGTCTGGGCACAATACGCGATGGTAATAATGGACTTCTGTTGCAGCCTTTGTACTGATCACGAGTTGTTTCTCAGCAGTACTGGGTTTAGACGCAGTGGGTATTGTGTGTTCTCAAGCGCTTCCTGGTGCTGAGCAGTTTTGGAGTCAACTAACCACCTTGACATCGGCTGTTGATGATCGGTTTGCTCCTTGACTGCCGATCGTTTTCGGGTATAAGAGTTGGTTCAGATGGTGTTTCCTTTCTATTTAGAGTTTTGATAGCTTTTTCCGGTAACCCTCAGAAACAAGCTCTTAATTTAGCAGTAGAAAAGCCTTATGAGTCACATGTTAGGGAAACACCAAATCATCATGTGCGATACAGTACATGTGGCCTCATCGGAGGACATGGGTGAGAAAATGGCAACTATACATGAAGCCGGCAAATCTGCTTCTGTTATTGAGCCAAGATTTCCTTCTCACACTATCCATGAGTAGTTTGTTACGTTACACTTATATTCCACCGTGGGACCGATTTCTTTTACTTCATTCTTGTTGGTTACCAAACGTCAACTGACCTTACTACTAGTGGTAAATGTTGACTTTTTTGCCACATCCTTCAATAATTTGTTTCCTACTTGTTTTAGGTTCCGTTGAGCTGAATACTGAAGTTCCGGAAGGGCTCACCTGACATGAAATATCAACTGAACACTTATCGGCCTCTTCTCACTCGGCTTCTGTATGAGACTGGATTAGCTGAACAACCAAGACGTTTCAAAACAGTATGTATTTGATTATTCTCTTCTTTGTACCCACAAACCACTTGAGGTGTTTTTATTTGTTTTATTGTCTCCAACTGCGTCACCGATTTACACTAAATTAGTTTTCCAAGTATGTAGTGGCGATATTCTTTGTACTGAAATTCACGAAGTTGTTATGACATGTTATGTTTCGGCGATGAAATCTGGCATCAAGGTCTCTGGTAACGTGCCGTTACTGCTGTCCGCTGCGCTGGGAAACCGAATCGCCCAGGTTAGACCGTTGAGTCATCGGCTCTGGAGAGATTTCATAAAGAATCTTACCATCCACTGCCTTTCAGTTCAAACTTGTGAGTCAGGCTAGGGGCTCAGAAAAAAACCACATTCTCCGGGTACCTTGTCGATCAGACTTAAACCGAAAGGTCAAGGTGGGGCACCTCAACTAAACGCTCTTCGTCGGTCCAAGCCACGAGGAATCATTTGCCCGCACAGTTAACTTCGGTTCTCAGTTACTCAACATAGCGTCTATAACGTGCGAGCTGTTCGATTACGAGCCCTGGCATGTTACCTTCAATTCTACTCATAAATAACCGCCTAAAATGGGACAATGAGGATCCCGTTGCTACCTCATCCCTTCATCCGAAGAAGGAGTCATTAGAAAAAGACTCTATGTCAAACGTACATCGTAAAAGTTAATCTAGAATCTAAATCAGGTATGGACAAGTTGATATTCGCTTGGCTTATAAAATTGCAAGTAAAATAAGTCGGATACTCGGATTGGTATTTTGATTGCAATCAACGAACTAGAACACGTCGTCAAGACTGCCTACATAGTTGTTTCCCGACAGGTTAAAGTATAAGTATATAAGTATATAAAGCATGATTAGGGAACAGAGTATTAGATCGCCTATGCGCTTTTAGAAGCCCGTATACACGAGACATAACCGCGTCTGCTAGTTTCCGGTTTTCGTGCTGATATTTCATAATCTGACTTCTTTTACTCAGCCCTTCCAAATAGTCCTTTTTGTATCATCCCTCTCCTGTGGTCTCAGAAACTTGATCATTTCGAGAAGCAAACTGAACATCTTGTCAATATAATCCTTTTATTGAGGAGAACCATATCCGAGGCTTTCTCTGGTTCGGTCAGGCCATATTCTTTTTGCTACATTGGTTTCTTTTGACGTATAGATGCCATGTTATTATGGGGCTCTTATGGTACATTCAACTCCATGAGTATTCATTTTACGCATGTACTATGTTGACCTTGAATACTTGATCTTGGCTGGTTTGACTCAAAAGATCTTTAAATTTAGATTCGATCTCCAGTTGTTCCGGTCTAATACAAGAAATGTAGACTTTGTGTCCAACTAATGTGCTTTCAGCCTTCAAGTTCCAAAAGTTATTAACATGCAGTCCAGATTGATTGGAAATGCGGTACTTGGAGATATACTCCAGAACTTTATTCGGTTCCCGTCACGCTCTCCTCCTTTCTCGCCTGGTGTTTGAGTTTACAAATTCGTCTAATTCCTGGTGCTGGTCTGCAGATAGTTCCTTAGCTGCAGTATCATCTAGACTGGCAAGTCATTTGAGTTCCTTTGCTTCCGACTGCAGAGTCTATATGACTAGGGTACGACTTTTCAGTTTTGTTCCATCAGGTCGGCTCCCGCTCCTACGTATGTAAATTTCTTAAAATAACTCACTTTAGGCCCTTTTTTAGTCTTCTGGGAGTTACTGTTGTTTTACCTAACTACGAGTCCCCCTCACTACTGGTGTAAAGGCCCCAGGAATCAAACCGTTCTGTTGAGCAAGCAGAAATAAATGGTACTCACAAGTGTGCAGTATCCTTGAGAAGAGAGTGAAAACTGCGCGAGGTGTCTATTGTGAATGTTCGATAAGTAAACATCACCCATACTGTGACGTCGATTTGGAGTAGTAACGCGTTCATAAAACTTAGAGTGGATCGCTTTTTTGTGCCTTGGTGGATACATATTTCTTGAGTCTGATAGCACGGGCATTGGTTTTGAGAATTAGTGGACACGATTATGAACAGTTGGATCGATTGAAATGCTCGTGTTTCGTGGGGATTTCCGCCACTGCATTTTCAAGAGCACATGCTCTCTTGAAACATTTAGTCAATATTCAGAATAGTGCTGGTGAATTATGAGCTAATCTTATGGTGAAAACCAGTACGTAGAAACTTGTTGAGCTTGGAACAATGTAGGTAAAGTACGAAAGGGTCTACAGTGATCTACCCAGCGCGCAATACCACTTCTAGTGAAAATAATTTATTGAACCGAAAAAAAGTTGATGCTAGGGTATTCCCGAGCATGCAGGAACATCTGAGGTCGTAACCAAATTGTTATGATGAACATGTGCGTCCATTTTGAAATGCTTGCATGTTGCCATCCTAAACAGCCACACCTCTGTGACACTAATTGTGTGAGAGGTCACCACCAGTCATCCACAAACATTTAAAGAGACTGCAGCAGCATGAAAAAGTGGAGACCTGTCGTTTTCGGGTGATAGTTAACGCAATCATGCATATTAACCTGAGGAAGTAGAAAAATTAGGTAAGCATGCAGCGATTATTTTCATACCGGTCAGTTAGTATCGCGTGGATACCAAAGGCCTGGTCGATTTTTGGGTAAACACAATACGGTCATCGTTTAGTTTTCACTGTGACGATTGACTGGATAATTTATCTGTGACACTATCCTGTGGCTTATGTGCTATTGTTAGTTTAATTGTCAGGACACTGCTTAGCTGGATGTGTAAAATGCATGTCACGTTCGTTTCGTCTAATGGATAGAGTGCATTCCCCTCCCGGTCCCTGCAGTAGGTGCTCCGAACCACCGGCTGGCATCACCTGAGTGCTGCTCTGATAAAAAAAAATTCATTCACCACCCGGTATCTATGATGAATTAAATAATAACCTTCATGCATGTATTAGGGTTGGTGATTCAGCTATCGTAGCACGGGTCAGCTGGATTCGTCGACTGTTAACCGCTTCGGTACATTGTTTCAGTTGGCAAGAAGTATATTCATTACTCACCCTCACTAACGTATTCGTGAGATTTATAAATCGTCCGTAGCGCCCAGTAAGTCATTCGTTTGCACTTTGACTAGTGCTTAGTGCGGATGCATTTGAGATTTGAATGGAACTCCCGTTTGTGTCCAAACGAACGCGTAGTACAATGTCCAAGAAATAGGAGAAACAGGTGAGAAACAGCGTAATTCGGTGATAGCTATTATTTGAGACTTGTAATGCCCGATTTCCTGTGACGAGCACGTTGAGAACCGTTCAATGGCACGGTGTAAACGTTCATAATGTATTCCAGAAAATGATATTCAGTTATTTGGCTGACTTTTGAAAGCAAACCAAGGGGGTTCTAGAATTCCCTTCGCCCAACGTGCAATATCTTCCAATAGTTAAACAATCGATCTCGGAGGACATTGCTTGTAGGAAGACGAATATTCCTTCAGACGTTTTCTTTACTCTAGGACGGTTGTCCAAAGTTTAGGTGTGTGCACAATTCACCCATTGAGTCGTTCAAAATGATTTCTCAGTAAGTCTGCTCTTTATGCGTGATCTTCGTTCGGGGACCATCGTATATGCTCACTGTGGATTCGTCAACGCATCACTGGTCTTGCTATCAACACTGCTGATGATGGTGATTATATCCACTATCTTCCCTAATCTGTATTGTGTATTTCCAGGTAGTGAGTCATCAAATTCTACTTTCCAATTGTCCATTCCACCCCAGCCTGCTGTACAGGGCACTGCTCCAATAGACTCACCAAAATGGATCAGCATTGATGGACAATCCTACCTTCGTGATTCCTTTTTTAACATTCCTTCCCGTATTCTCTCGTTGACCGGGAGATCACTACACAACCGAAAATACCATCCCCTGTGTCTCGTGAAACAACGTATTGCAGATTTTATGTTTAAAGTATGTATCCGTATTTCCATCTTTTTAGCTGCTTGATTACACCCAAATTATCTTTCGATTTTAGCTCATTTACAAACTACCCAACATCAAACCTAGTAAACTCTTCCGTTGTGGTCATTCTGTCGAAAAAAAAAACAAATATTACTGCTTGGATCATTGTCTAAGGGAACCGTATGGTATCTTGCATGCGCGGTTACTTATCAGTAGGTTATTTCTCGGTCTTGTTTGGACTTTCTTGGTGCAAGTTCTCCAAAACGGGAACTACTGGACGTGGGCACCATTCTTTTCAGAATTCAACTTTAATGTATTTCGAAGACACAATAAGAACTCAAGCTTCTCTTAACTGCTTTCATTTTTCACTTGAGCGATTTCAGCACACTCTCCATTATATAAACCGATCACCAGATTTGGCTACGAAATATACTTTGAAAATATAATACGGACGACTGCCGATCGTTTCAGAAGGTGTACTGAAGTAATCTTTCTGAAGAGATTGCTTTGAGGAGTGGAACTTTTCGCCTCCTCCTTTGGATAGCCTTTCTTGGGATTGAAATCTCACGATTTATCTGGTCTGAGAGGAAACGCTGTTGTAGCTTTTCCCGAAGAGATAACCACTCTTTGGGGACCGCTGTATTACTACGTTTGCCCTGCCCTTGGCTATTGCAGTTTCCATAGATGGCGTTACGTAACTCCGCTACTTACTCGTACCTTTCATTCTTCTGCTTTCTGTAACCTCTGCTAATATCATTCATAGTTTAGTTGCTTTGGGTCAGATTGATTTGATGGTCAACAATCCATTCTGGTTGTCATACTCATTTTCCAGCGACACGCACGTCGCGCCCCCGAAGATGTCGTTGGTTCTCCTCTATTCAGTCTGCATGATACAATCTCACCAGTCGTAACTGCTCGACAAAACTTTGACAGCTTACTGATTCCTCCAGATCACCCGAGTCGTTCACCAACCGACACGTATTACATCAATGAAAACACGTTACTGCGAAGCCATACCTCGGCCCACCAACTGGACTTCATGAGTTCTGGGCTGAATGCCTTCCTTTTGGTCGGTGATGTTTATCGTCGTGACGAAGTAGACGCCTTGCACTATCCTGTGTTTCACCAACTCGAAGGTGTGCGCCTGTTCTCTGCCAGCGAGGTTAGTTTTCTCGGTGATCAGTGCTTTCATCTCCAAATACAACGTTCTCAATGCTGCTGGGAGTGAGATAAAACGTCATTATGACTCAGTCACACTTCTCGCACTTTCTAGGGTTTCTCGATCTGACCAAAAAATTATCCGATTGGCAGGTCCCTCATTTCCGTGCTTTACATCTTGATTGGCATTCCGCTGTTGAGAGAATTTGATAGCTCCACTAAGTGTTGTGCTTTTCTTTAATTTCGAAGTTCCCTCGGTTCGTTTATGTTTTTGCGGTGTAAACCAACCTATACACAGACGTGCTCCCAGCGGTTTTCCTTAAGCTTTCTAGCCCTTGTAGCTTGAAACATGTGTTGGTTAGATTTTGATCTATTGCTCGCTCTTACGACATGAGTTGATAAAAATCTCAGGCTGAATTATTAAACTGCCTCCACCTGCTATAACACTTCCCGCAAGACTTCACAAAAGGTCCGAACTTTCTCAAGAGCTGGAACTAGTAGCACACCGATTTAAAAGTGAGTGCGTGCGCGCAATTGGCTTGCCAACTAAGCAATCAATAAATTCCGGTGGGCTGTGTGTGTAGTCAGGACGTGACGGAAGGCTGTCAATTGTCCCGATTGCATTGAAATCCAGGAAACCCTTCGCTGAAGCTGCAGGCGTTCGCTACAACACGAGTCAAGCGAATGTCCTGGCTTAAACAGTACTCCTCATTCCCCGGCGCGATTATTCTGGTTAGCCTACATTGAAGAGAGTGCGTTGTACTTGGGTTTCGCTCCGTTGGAGCCCATCAGCAATGGGTAACCTTGACCGTGCTGAGATTCCGAATCTGACATGCGAAACATGCGTGTTACCGCCACTCCGGTACACAATGGACAGATCTGAAATGTCGCCTGTGAGCAGAAGAACATATTCTCGCTAGAGCGATGCTTCTGGTTTCGTCAACCCCTCAAACTGTCCTGGTTGTCGACCGGCTGATTCACCTTTCGAGAATTTCTGGTCAAGTAACTCCACGGGCACTTAGAACTTGCTGGACCATCTTTGATTGGTTGGTGGCTGTGAGTTTAATAGCTTGCTCTCACTGACAATTTTCAACTCGGTCCTGTCTCCCTGTATCGTATCAAACTGCACGCTACCTCATGGTTCCTTTTCTCATGCCCGATAAATTAGTTAGCTTTAAGGATGCGCTCAGATTTCTCGCCGCACAATAACTCCAACCACCGGCATGATTTCGCGGTTGATCTATCTGTAGATCCTTCTCAGTCTAGCAGCCTTCGCTAGTCGTTCCTTGGTGAAATTATTATTTTCGGAAAAGTTTGGTAACAATCGGCAGATGTATCGCTGGGTATCGGCTCTGTCAGGCCAAATGAATAGGTTACGAGGCTGGTCGAGATTTAAGGCGGAAAGAGAACCAATCAGCTAAGTTAGGCCAAATCTCTGATAGTTATCGACCGAGGGATTTTGTGTTCAGGTGTGTAACCAAGTGTTGGATCGACGGGGAAACCTACATGGATTTGGGTCCAGCCTAAGGTCTAGTTGTTTTGTTTCGGTTTACGTGATGATCCCTCTTGAACGTCGTGTGCAGTTTCCGTCTGTGTGCTACGGTAGTTGTGTAAGAGGGATTCTTTGAACTTTAGTCGGGTTGGGATTTCCACACACCCCCCCCCTTTTGCTAATGATTCTACGTGAATTGACCACCACGCACAGTCACGTGTCAACTCGGTTTATCCAAGACCGCTTTCGATACGCTCGCCAGTTCCACACCCTCAACTCTGTTGATGCTGTGATGCTTGGTGATTTCCGTCACCTCGGCTATCAGCCGCTGTGGTGTGAATCGCAGGCCCCGTCGTAAAACTTCCACATTATCCAGATCTATTCTATGTCCCGTATCTAAGGCACATACAGCCATCGCTGAGTCCTTGACCAGCGTTTGGTATTCTTCTGCATTCCTTGGTGGTTTGCTTATTCTCCTTTTATACTCACCGATTCTGGTGTACAATTCCCTGGCAGTTTTGTCCTGCGTAAACCTTAGTGCAATTGTTACAATTAATTTTGTACACACAGTGCCTAGTCCTTTCAACCAAGGGGGGATCTTTCAATTGCACCAAAACTGAGAGTAGGGTTTTTCCCTTCTGGAAAGCTACTCCAATTTTGGCAGCTCTTGAATAACCTTCGATGTTCCTGTTTTATATGGAATGACTGCTCTGCCTCTCCATTCCTTACTGGGTCTAGATACCAGAGGCAATATCTTTCGCACTTGACGCCTAATCAAACTCGCTGGGTATTCCATTTCTCGGAGTCTGTTGGCAGTGTCGATTTGAGCTGCCGTTCGGTCGACCTTTTCTGTGTACAACGCTCTGGCTCGACAAAACAGCAACGAGACGGTACTGGCGTACACGGACTTTGGGTGTGCTGATGAGTAGCTTAAGCCGGTTCCTGTATCTGTTGGTTTCTGGTAGATCGTAGTTTCCACTTTCCCACCACTCTTATGTGTTTTACAGTCCGGGAAGGGTAATGTGCCCGAGGTGGACTCTATCTTCATGCTAAACTTGATGTGTGAATTTAAACTATCGAGATAGTCATGGAAGCTGTTCACTTTATCTCCTTTGATTACAACAAAGGTATCGTCAACATAACGCCAAAAAAATTTCGGTGGACAATGATATCCGGCCAAAGCCATTTGTTCGAAGTCCTCCATTTAAACACTGGCTAACATTTGGGATTTTGGAGAGCCCATTGCAAGACCTTGTTCTTGTGAATAAACAGTTGTGTCAAAAACAAACCGATCAAGTTTAAAACACGCTTATGTCCTCAACTATTTCATCCACCGAGAGCTGTATCCGTTCTTCAAGTGTCGTGTCTGCCAGTAACAACCACTTAGTTACATCCAAAGCACCTGCCCTTGGGATATTTGGGTACATTGAGACTATGTCAAAACTCACGAGGACTTCGTCCATCTCCAACGGGAGCCCTGCGACCTTATTGGCAAAGCCGTACGAATTCCTAATGAAGGTGCTTGATTTCCCCGTGAGTGGTTTCAGACTCGTTTGAACCATGTCTGCCAGTGAGCATTGATGAGTTGAGTCCCAGGATCTTCGTCCAGCGAGGCGGCGGTTCCCAACCACCAATGGGTTACTACTTTGATGCCTTGTTGCAGGGTCATAAACTGCCCACTTCCCATTTATTCCTCCCTCAGAAAATAGTTCTGTGGGAAGACCGTCTTCTGAAGTGTGAATCACATGTCCTACCCAGTGTTACCTATGAAGCGTGAGTAGCTCGTCCATCGTGGAAGAGTTTATTCTTCCTAAAATCATTTACTGTACCACAGCTAATCCGATGTTTCTCCCAGAACCAACCGGTACTTCGAAGACACCAATGGTCAAATACTAATGGCTTTCGTACATCCGTTCGCAGAACCTACGTTTCTTATCCATAAAGTAGTGTGTGGGTCACGATGTCGTAGTGTGTACTATGCCACTGACAGATAAATTGATGTAATCTCGGTGCCAAAGGTGTCGAAGTTTGGTCAAACCAGTCCTGGACCTCCCAAGAGAGGCCGGCTGCCCACTTTGATGGGGAGTACGAACGTTTAGGGCCGCAATGTGGATCAAATCTTACTAGTTTGGTGAAGGTTCATTATAGTTCATTGTAGTGCGTGGAAGTTTGGAAAAAGGACTATGGTTGGGGAATCGACAGATGAATTTACCAGTTGACAAGTGGGCGAGGATTAAGGTAGATGAACGAAGAGCTGCAAGGAAGAATGAAACTTTGGGGCTATCTAGGCCGAGGACGGAGGCTTTTTGGGGGCAGCCAACCCTGAAGGCTTGCCTTGAAGCTACCCTGACCTTCTCGATTCGAGAAATTATCTTGTCTCCAACCCATCCATCAGAACGTACACAACTGCCCTGGTAAGTGAATCTCACATCGATTGGCTGGTGTGCAAGCATGAGGTTTGGATCCGACTATGCACACAGCAGAAGCACTTGATACTTCGCAGACATGAAGGGCATACAAAGTTATGCGGCAGATTTGTTCAGGTTAATTAGGTAGCCTGTATCTCTAAAGGATATGAACCAAGAACAGCAATACCATCTATGTACTCAGTGTCTGTGAGCGGACTTCCCGGAAGCAATTCGATGCCCGAGGTCTCAAAAGTAGGCAGAATAGTTTCGAGCAGCATGCCAACGACAAATTTGAAGAGAAATGTTGAAAGACGGAAATGCACTCCGACGGTAGCGAGCACTGTATTTTTTCTGTCTTGCCGCATTTGAATTTGAGTGGAAAAATACAAGCGGATGGTAAAGCGGCAAGGCATACGGTAATCTGGACGCAAGCCTACGTTGAACCCGTATCCACGATAACTCCTGTTTTGGGTACGATGGAGTAGCAGCGGGATTTCAGTAAACAAGACGTTTTTTTAATCGTGGCCATTCTCCTCGTTTCTTAAGGTAATCTTTTAAGGTGCTTGGTTGCTCCCGAAAGGCTTCATCAAAAAACGGTTCCCAATTTCGGCACTCAGCAGAACGCGTTGTCTGATCTTTGTCGGATTCACGCGGATGGTTGCAGAACTGACCGGTATGTGTAGAGAATATGGACTGTGTAGTTTTTTGTGAGGCTCTCTGCCATACCTGCACAACATTGTATTTTTTAATTTCACTACTGGAGAAGACGCGAGTAGTGCGAAACGTTATAGCAACTTGGAAAGAAACCTCATTGGAGTCATTGTCAATGCGCTTGACTTAGCGATATTTAGTGGAGTCGTCTATTGAAGACAATGATGGAATCCTCATTCAGTTGATTTCTAAGCCCTTCGGACGAAACTAGTTGAATGTGTTTGAAACAGTTGACGTTACCCGTCGGCGTCATGATAAGAACGAAGGTAGCATACATAGTCCTTATTCTATGGTTGGTCGCCTTGGCTAATGCATCACCAATCTGTATGCAACTAGACATAAACCACAAGCATGACCAGTTCAATTCATGGTTTCAAGCATACCAAGAAGAGAATGAGTGCATGGGTCGATTATTCATGGCATCGAAGTCAAACTTGGTCGTACAACCAGAAAGTTTCGTATGCCAACGCATAGACTTCTTTTGAACGCATGGTTCCGGGTTGCATAGCCAGATTCTGATAGTTTCTGCAATCATTGTCAATCTGACTCATACTGCACGTGACCAGTTCAGAAGTACTTGAGACAAATCAGGTGGCTTATTCGTAACATAAGCAGTTTCGACCAACTATAATGCGATTACGATCGAGTAGGACTCCTTCTAGCTACCATCTAGGGTAACTGGATGGTGTTCACACGTCCTCTTTGACTAACGCCTCGTTGTACAAACAGCATAATTTACTCAACACGAGCGTGTGACTGAGGGCATGTAAGAGCTCGTGGTGGGGTTCGCAGTCTTCCAACCAAATTTCGATGGAAGGAATGACCACACTTACGGAATGAACATCTTATCTGACGAGTCCAAATTCAGGAAAATGGACGCAGGGGAAAACGAGGCAACGGACTAGAGAAGCAGCGTCGGAAACAAGCATTTAACATCTATGCTCATATTTTTTATGAATTGGACTTACCAGTACAGAGATATTCCAACCGTGTAGTCTCGCAAAAGTGGTCTGCTCCTTAGTCCGATCACGTACCTGTTTTTATCACCGATATCGCGCCTTAGAGAAATGGCACGCCTGTCTAGCATAACCAGTAAACAAAGAAGCGTCAACACAGTCTCAAATATGCTTCGCAGTTGATCAACAGTCTCAATGATCTAAAGGTCAGTAATCACTCCATAAAAAAATCGCTTAGCTGTAACACCCTTATTGTGCTTAGCTGCTATGCCACCCGAAGGAAGTACGAGGGCTGAGATACTGTCAGTTCGCCCAAGCCTAGATAGGAAAAGTCGAGATACATAGATCGGGTTTGAACCACAGACCTGGTCAGTAAATTTCCCTCCAAACACTGATGTCGTATCGGTATTTACTAACGTACTGTTCGCCGGGACAAAACACTTTGTGACTGACTGTAATACAATGCACGCATATTGCCATCTTCATATTCAAAAGATTTGTCTCTTTGCACCTTTCAGTCCCGTCCGAATAGTGAAACCTATCGGGAAAAGGATGAATTTTGGACTTACTATCCTTTTGGTCTGCTTCCGACAGGTCCCTTTGTCAAGTGGACTTGAAAGCCGCCAGCTGAGCACACTCATCAAACAATTTGCACTACATATAGAATACATTTCTGTAATTTCAATTGATATCAGTCCGACTGACACCTTGAATAAATTAGGCTTAGTTTTGTCCCTCGACTAAATTTTCTTGATGTTTCTATTGGATAAGCATTATCCTAATATTAAATGAACTATAGTTCAACCGTGTTAGCTTTTCTCTTGATTGTTCGTAAAATATTCATTCGATTTCACTGTTTCTTTTATTGTCAAGTAGCTCTTCAAAGATGCTATCGATCCCAGTGGCTGCTTGCAATTGCTGGAAGAGATTCCTCCATCTTCGGTGTACGCGCAGAAAGAAGAGCATCCATTGCATGTATTTCCGTCATACATGCTTCCACCGGACCGTCAACCACGACATACGAACGAAACCGCTAAACGTTTAGAATTTGAGCTGAAAACGGTTCTACAGGCGCTGGCCAAGTCGCTTTTTGGACCCGGTACGTCTTGGGTAATCACATCAATTTTTTATGGTTGCTCACCGTCTGCTAAGTATGAAGTCCAAATTCAGGAAAATGGACGCAGGGGAAAACGAGGCAACGGACTAGAGAAGCAGCGTCGGAAACAAGCATTTAACATCTATGCTCATATTTTTTATGAATTGGACTTACCAGTACAGAGATATTCCAACCGTGTAGTCTCGCAAAAGTGGTCTGCTCCTTAGTCCGATCACGTACCTGTTTTTATCACCGATATCGCGCCTTAGAGAAATGGCACGCCTGTCTAGCATAACCAGTAAACAAAGAAGCGTCAACACAGTCTCAAATATGCTTCGCAGTTGATCAACAGTCTCAATGATCTAAAGGTCAGTAATCACTCCATAAAAAAATCGCTTAGCTGTAACACCCTTATTGTGCTTAGCTGCTATGCCACCCGAAGGAAGTACGAGGGCTGAGATACTGTCAGTTCGCCCAAGCCTAGATAGGAAAAGTCGAGATACATAGATCGGGTTTGAACCACAGACCTGGTCAGTAAATTTCCCTCCAAACACTGATGTCGTATCGGTATTTACTAACGTACTGTTCGCCGGGACAAAACACTTTGTGACTGACTGTAATACAATGCACGCATATTGCCATCTTCATATTCAAAAGATTTGTCTCTTTGCACCTTTCAGTCCCGTCCGAATAGTGAAACCTATCGGGAAAAGGATGAATTTTGGACTTACTATCCTTTTGGTCTGCTTCCGACAGGTCCCTTTGTCAAGTGGACTTGAAAGCCGCCAGCTGAGCACACTCATCAAACAATTTGCACTACATATAGAATACATTTCTGTAATTTCAATTGATATCAGTCCGACTGACACCTTGAATAAATTAGGCTTAGTTTTGTCCCTCGACTAAATTTTCTTGATGTTTCTATTGGATAAGCATTATCCTAATATTAAATGAACTATAGTTCAACCGTGTTAGCTTTTCTCTTGATTGTTCGTAAAATATTCATTCGATTTCACTGTTTCTTTTATTGTCAAGTAGCTCTTCAAAGATGCTATCGATCCCAGTGGCTGCTTGCAATTGCTGGAAGAGATTCCTCCATCTTCGGTGTACGCGCAGAAAGAAGAGCATCCATTGCATGTATTTCCGTCATACATGCTTCCACCGGACCGTCAACCACGACATACGAACGAAACCGCTAAACGTTTAGAATTTGAGCTGAAAACGGTTCTACAGGCGCTGGCCAAGTCGCTTTTTGGACCCGGTACGTCTTGGGTAATCACATCAATTTTTTATGGTTGCTCACCGTCTGCTAAGTATGATAAAATTTCCTTTATTGTTCCAGCCCACCGACGTTAAACTATTTGTACTTTTTTCTGGGAAACAACGATGTGAATCAAATGCCATCTACAGTTCATAACTTATGCTTATTCGGAGGCTTGCTGATATCCCACGGAAACGATGACAGACACTATTCATCAAACACTTCGCATAGACTATTCACCGCCAGTATACACATTAAATTTTTAATGGAGATTTTGGCATATATCTAATCAGATTCCTCATTTGACCACTCCGTCGAAGTTCCTTTGGAGCTATGTCAGTCCAGTCAACTTCTACGTCTAAATCACTAGCAACAATACAAAACATACCCACCGTATGCTAGAATCGGTTGCTCCGCGCTTCCTCATTGTCCAAATGAACCTACCATTTCAAACAAAAATGCATCCAACGTGTTTCGCGGCGCGTGAACACCGTATACCATCCAGGTAATAATACGAAGTGAGACTGAACATCTCGTTGTTTTGACCAGCTGTGCTGCTCCAGTGGATTTATTGAGCTGAATGCCTACCTCTTATGTTTTCAAGCCCTTATTTCCGGTTTTTTTTCATGTCCACATGTTTACTGAAACACACCTAGGCATCGACTCACCATCCGTGACAGACATGTGGCTAGGTGCTCACTGCCTCGCGGCCCATGTCAGTAGCATGGCGAGCAATTCCCCTGCTTATAATGCGAGTGGTTAAATTTAGAGCTTAGTTTACACCTATACCAGACTGTGGACTGGTCAGAACCCTGACAACCACTCGATGTCATACGATGATTGTCCATCCACGACGCTCCCGGTCCGTAGCCCACACCGTAAACTCTGGACCCTGAACTTCGGGTCCAAGTACATATAATAGTGAGAGATTCACTGAAAAGGAGAGCGGGACAACAGTTTCTCTCCCTAAGTTTATCTTTTTTGCCTGCCTTGCATATACTTCTCATCCACTGTTCATCTAATTTTTCTTTTCTGTGCCTAAACTCCGAAAGCCTCTCAAATTATTTCGTGTTCCTGGCCTTAATCTTAGTTTGCTTGATCTCTTGTTAAGTTATATGCATTTCCGAGCTGTGTTGACTTTTCGCCGTTTCTCATCGATTGACAGGTTTTTCTGCATCTGAGTTGGATTTCCATGCATTGAAGGCATTAGCTGTCTTGTCACGCATACTTGATGATATCTTTCTTTTCAGGAGCATCCTTTTATTTCAGGTCAATTGCTTTTCATTATTTGCAGTGACGAAATTTATTACAAGTTGTTAGCTTGCTTCGCAAGATGGTTCACCGGATTTAAGTTGTGTAGCACCTGGCTTGTCTATATGTGTTCACTGTCTTGTTACGCATACTTGATGATATCTTTCTTTTCAGGAGCATCCTTTTATTTCAGGTCAATTGCTTTTCATTATTTGCAGTGACGAAATTTATTACAAGTTGTTAGCTTGCTTCGCAAGATGGTTCACCGGATTTAAGTTGTGTAGCACCTGGCTTGTCTATATGTGTTCATTTCTTGATACATATTCATGAATACCTCTGTAATTCCGACGCTTTTTTGCTCACAGAGATTCAGATGCGTTGGGTTGAGGCCTATTTTCCTTTCACACATCCTTCTTGGGAACTGGAAGTCAAAACTCGGGTTGGATATCGAGAAGATGGAGTGGAGGAATGGACCGAACTCCTTGGCTGTGGATTGATGCGACAAGAGCTTTTGGATCGCGGTAGGTTCTGATTCTTCTTCGTTTGTCAATGACCAACCTTTATTTATGTGTGGAAGTATTGGTAGCTTGACTGTGTTTGCTGCTGGTTAGACGGATGGCTGTTGATCTGTTCGTCGAGTTTGACACTTGGGTTGCGGACGTTTCGCCACCAACCTAGAGGACCTAAGAGCGCAGTTGGGATAGCGTCTCCTTGATTGGTGACGCGACGTTTGCAACTTGACTGTCAAACTCTTTGAACGGATCAACGGCCACCCGGTCATCCACCACACTATATTGGATTCCGTGTTTCCCGCTACTAATGCCCTGCTATCTCGACATGTTTGGGGTTTGCTGCGTTTTAGAACTTGCAAGCTAAGTATTTATGAAGATGCAATCGTCAATTGATGCTCGACAAGGCGAGAGCGTATTCTGCCTTCTCCATGGTGACTAATCCCTGTGTACTTGTTTTTTGCCATTAGGTCTTTATTGATGAGTTTTCACGCATAAGTAAGGTTGGCGATATCTAGCTTGTGAGTTAATATGTAGTCTTAACAATACTCGTCATGAGGGAGAATAGTGTCCGTTTCTCAAAACTTGGTTGCATGGAGAGTGTATATGCTTTGCGAAGTTGGTTACAACAGCCTGTTCATCAGTTTACGTCAAAAAGGTTATTTCGATTTTGGTCTATGCAGTTGAAGTGCGTACTCTTAACCCCGTTTCGGCCAGACACATTGTTGAGCATACCTTATGTTGTTATCAGTAAAGTAATCGATTATTGGTCCATCGTGTGACCAGCTTCATTTTGTAGCTGAAATTTGAGAGTCGATAGATAATCCTCGTAAATAAAAAAAACCTCATCGATATTTTAAAGTACACTTGATTCTGATTCCTTACTCCCTTTGTTCCAGCGGGCATTTCCAACAAAGTCGGTTACGCATTTGGTCTAGGTCTGGAGCGCTGGGCGATGCAGCTATACCATATCCCAGACATCCGTCTGTTCTGGACAGAAGATACTGGATTTCTGCACCAGTTTGAAACCGATGATATATTTGCCCAGCTCACGTATAAGGTAGTTTCTATTGTCTATCATACACACGCTCCCCATGTATTTGAGTTATGACTGTGTGGATTTTCAAGCAAACGTGATTCATCTGCTGTTCACTACACTAACGAAAGTGGTAAGCACTGAAGGTTGAGTGATGTAGAATGGATTAAGCATGTGAGCACTGTTTTTGTAGTTTTATTCCACGCCCGATAATAGACCATACAGTTCATTCTTTGATGTTTATCAATCTAATGTGTTAATCACCGCTGCGAAGATTTCCCAGCTGATTACACAACTTCAATAGTTGTGTACGGGTGACCTCAGTTATTGGTTATTGTACCGTTGCATACGTTTCGGCAAAGTCCACTGAACCTCATCTGCTTATCCAGCAACTGAGCTTTCAACAACGAAATTGTGACAATTAGAGGATGCATGAAGTCCACAAGTGGCTGTCTGAAAGATAGCCACCACGTGATCTAACCTCCGTTCTCCTTCAGAAGGATTTGAAACGTTTGAAAGAGGACCAATTACACGCAATTCAGTTTATGGATGGGTCCCGAACCCGCGATCTCTCGCGCCACCCTTCGAAAACCGCGCTGCTTATCCACCGTAAAGCAACTACTCCTTGGATGGACCTAGGGTATACAGATGTTTCTCATGGATGAGCGGAAGTTATGTGCATTGAATTCTATTGTACTTGGCATTTTCCAGATTTGACAATTTCGACCCATTTCGATGGGTAATGAACTGTGACATTTGGTATCCCTACAGTTTAGCAACTTACATTCAGCATGTTTGATCGACCCTAACCCCGTACATTGCCGTAAAGACTGAATATTTAAATCTGACACCCAAATCTACCTCGGATTAACGCGTTATATATATATATATATATATATATATATATATATATACTGAAAAAGTTGTGACGGAAATCCTGGGAGTGTCTGATCGTAGAATAGTGAAGTCATGCATGTAAAACATCTTTAATGTGTGACTGATGGTTTGTAACGTCATCAGAAGTTTGTTGTGAGCTCCTAAACTAGTCCAACAGGACATAATTTTGGCTAGTAGTAGCATGTGGGTGATTGATAGTTTGATTTATCGAGAAGATCCCAAAGTATTGAAGGTTCGAAAATGGAATTCTGGTATTAACAGCAAGGTACTCGTTTGGTCCATTTCAAGTGGTGTGCTTTCCAACCATCCGCGCCCCGGTTAAGTGACAGTGAGAATGTTCTAACTTCCGATGTAAGTGTGATGTTCAGCTCACATATTTTTGTGGGTAAGATGCTTCACTTTCGCTCAAACTGAGGGGGATTGTTAACTTAGGATTTTCCAGCCGGTGCTTCTGAAGAAATCTGACTCATATGGCAGTCCCACCGAAGCATACATACCCCGGTGGGCACTATCCTGTCCAATGTTTACCTGGACTCATGAGCAATGATTGCTTCGTACGAATTCCGTTGAGGGTTTGATCATCTCTCCTGCACATACAGACTATGGCTGGCAGCCTTTTTATGGTGCCAGACATCCACTTTCATCCCTCATCTTAGAGAACACATCGCTGCAAGAAGGCAGTTGACTTCTGTAGTGGAGGTTACGTGGTCAGATCGCTTGGAGGTTTATATAGAGGTTAGACCAATCCAGATTACCGGTATCACCCACCCCTGACCATACTGCGGTACTAGGACACAGTTGAGTCTTTGACAGTCGCATACAGACAAATAAGCAATACGCGCCTATTGACCGGGAACAAATTAATATGGACCGTTCTAATCGCACGTTCCTCTTGAGCAAACACTGCTGATCAAATGTTTCCTTTTCTAAAGCACCAAACTGGCTCTTCAAGGTGAAGTCAGAGCGGTGGTAGGGCACTGTACTTTTTGGCTAACTAGTTTTTTTGCCATCTCTTTAACCACAGTCAATAACCACTTGAGGAGCTTTAACGAAGAGATTGCTATTCTTGCTAAATTTGCCTCTACTTTTTAGCCGGTGAGCGTCTTTCCCCAGTGTGTCTTAGATCTGTCCTTCTGGTTGAATGGAGGTCACCCTCCGGCCACAAAACCAAAAGTACCGTCAGAATCTAAGGACTCCAGCACAAATGAGGACGATGCGCTCAAAGCTTTTGAACATGATTTCTATGATCTCGTACGAAACGTGGCCGGTGATCTGATTGAGCAAGTAAGTTGTAAGCGTTTATCGTTTAGCCTATGAATCGTCTCAACATCCCCCGGTGGACCTACTGATATTATTACCATGTTTAATTACAATTGCTCCTCTGTTCCAGGTCCGGTTGATTGATCGTTTCACGGACGCAAAAACTGGGCGCACCAGTCACTGCTACCGTCTGGTATATCGAGACCAGCATCGCACGCTAACACTGGACGAAGTGCGACCACTCCACGAACGTATCGCACAGGAAGCCACTAGCCGATTGGGTGTGCAAGTACGGTGAATGTATCCCATCTGCAATTACCTACTTTGTTTGGTGGACCAGACCCTGGCAACATACCCACTCTTTATGAATCCAGAACTGTCTTGGCGAGCTTGTCAATGTCAACAAAGTTCCATGAAAAATTTTGCTTTTGGCTTTACCTCGGGTTTTGGCACCTATCGCGCCCGCACTCATATATAAGCCTTTCTAGAGATGCATTCAAGTGACATCCATTCGGCGCCGCGCCAGATATTCGTGTTTCTGGCCACACCAGATAGTCATTTTACTCGTTCCAGAGACATTTGAGAAACTCGTGCTTTTTGCTGAAGCTAGTACCACTCCAATTTATGCTGTGTCGGGCTCATTAGTCCAGTCCTCCACAATATTGTGAAAACCTTGACACAATCAAAAATGCACCCCATACACCAGGCTGTTGATCTTCCCCTCTATTCTGGACCAGACAGTGTCGTTCGTTCATTAGAAGCATCGGACCAGTGTCTCTATCGCATAGCGGACGTCCCTTTCCCTGACATTATTTCTAGAAGGATTTTGAATCTTACTACTGCCGTCACTACAACTATTCACCTGTCCATCAAAAGAGTTTGTCCATTTCGTGTAGATTCTTTCACTCTAGGCACTCAGCGGAAGCAAATACCGTACTATTTTCATGAGACGACCTTTAAGAACTGGATAGCTTTTAGAATTTTAATGCTTACCAGTACCAAGAAACCACTGGGCGTTAGGTTTACCTTCTTGCTGTCAGTGACATTGGTTCGCGATTGCATGCCTCCACGATGTGACCATCAAATGTGACACTAACCACACAAAACGTTTATCTTCTTGTTCGTCGCAGGCTTCCTTTGGTGCTATGCACCAGATACTATTCCAAGACTTGGGTTAGCAAACCATTCGCCTCTTTGAAACGTCGCTTTTGTGAGGCCCCCATTCCTCGCAGTGGGTACGAATTCTAGGTTGTACAATTTTGCTGACGTTTTGGAATGTTCATTCATTCTTGGGACCGTTTTACTGTATATTTTTCTCGCTGGTCAAATCTTGTGAGAACGTTGCGTGAAGCAATTATGATCTAGCATGTGCAATTTAGCTATCAGTGGTCGGCTCAGTTATGTACTACATTACTGGATAGACGGCAAGATGCCATCGAGTCACGAATTTGTTATGGCACGCATTGCCCGGGCGCAGGAGGGGCAACCAATCAACGGAACGGTGATGCAGCACTGCACACTAGTTTCTCGTCAGTCAATGGAAACTGTCCGGACACCTATTTGATACGTATCGGGTGAGTTTGACGCACACTACATCGAATTTCGGATCAAGAAACACCGGTTTCTACATCCTAGTTACTTCTGGTAGTTGACCTCAGAACCAATTTTGTCGCAAGATTCCTACCTGCCTATTCGCATTTCCGGCTCTACCAATCGTGCCTAACAGTCTCTGTTCATGTCGGTGAGATGACTCCACCAGATAAATCGGAAAATCGAAACCATACCTTCCAAACAAGTCATCTGAAATCTGCTAATGCTTATCTCAGTGGTTCATTTTCACCCTGTTCCACCTCTTGTGTGCGTCCACACCATGCACTATTTCTGAAGCCGAGTTTCGGCCGCTAACTAGGGTGGTTGGAGGATTCGAAGTTGTGTTACTGCGCGCAGTTTCAGCAGGCCTACAGAAGGTGTGCACAGTAATCTTGTTTCACTATTTGCTCAAATAAATCATGGTTACACGGCAGTGAAGCATCGTTGTTGAACACTGATGTCACGCTGTGGATGATGATGGCTATTTGCTCACCATAATTACGACATTTATCTCGTAGGTTGGGGCAAAAAAACAATATACGGTTCTTGCGTGTTTCATTCCTGTGTTGCTTACCGGCTCTTTCACATTTCAAGTTTATCTCCTGCTGGGAACAGGTCTGGGCCAAACCCCGTAGGCAATGCTCTCACAACTTGACAACAGTCCACAAAAACAGTGATTTGGGTAGGACAATACAATGGAAACGAGTTAATGAGTTTTGTTTATTGTTTCTACCATCGGGCCTACGCCGTCTCCCACTGGTTCTTGTGGTGTTCAGGCCTATTGCGGGCGGGTTACTGCGGTTTGATCGCAGTTTGGAACATTCCGAGCCATTAGGGCTTTATGAATTAAAACTCGACTGCTGCTGGGCTTAGACAGTGTGCTTCGTATTTATTATTTGTGTACCCTGGTGACAGTCAAGTGGGGGGGTGGAAAAGGAGCTATGCACTGAAGGCAATAGCTTTGATGCAAGAACGCCATTGAGGGCGCGACTGGGCCATATCTGACAATGTCTCTAGCCATTGATGTGGACCGTCTCGGGGTCCCCATCCAGGAAGACGGCACTGACCAGCGCTGCTGAGTTTGCTGGTAATGGCTTTCATACTTCGCTGCCAAGTCATTGTTTGACCGCCTCTGGCTCTCTTCCACCCTTCACCTGGTTGGGCGAAAAGAGCCCTTCGAGGAATTCGGTCGACTGGCATACGCAGCACGTGGCCAAGCCAGCGCAACCTATGCAGTGTAATCAGTTCATCTATCGAGAGTGAGTTGTTTCTCCCGAATACCATTCGACCTACTTCAAAATTGCTGGTCCGGTGTTCCCACCAGATTCGGGCAATGCTCCGAAGACATCGATGGTCAAGCACTGAAAGTCTTTTGACGTCCTCGGCGCGCAGCGAACAGGCTTCTGACCCATATGGTAACATGGAGCGCACCGCAGCATTGTAAACTCGACCCTTGACAGAGAAACTGATGTCACGCCTACGCCACAGGTGACGTAGGTTCGCAAAAGCTGCTCTGGCCTTCCCAATCCGAATCTTGCAGTAGCACTTTACACTTTGCGGGTGTGAAGCGCATGCCGAACCGCGAGGCAGAATTATTTAGATTATTTAATATTGTTTGCATTACAACGGGATCAGATCCAAGAAGAGCTAAGTCGTCTCCGCACTCGATGTCTGTGAGCGGAGGCCCAGGGAGCACTTCGACCCCACAGGCATTAGAGGCTGATAGTGAGTCTTCCATGATCGTATCAGTCACACGACTTACCTATCTACGATTGCACCCCCACGCGCCTGGTAATTTGGCGTACAAAATCTTATCGAAAACTATCGCATCTTCTTGAGTCCTTTCGTGATGTCATGTTTTTAGTTGTAAAGGTATACATGGAAGTTCCACTTCCTTCCGTTGCCATATTTCACACATCTCGATGTATTGTCACAAGCAATGATTCAAGCAGTTGCCATAGTATTCAGAAGTTGGAACTATTCACTTTTCTAGTCCTTGCAACCACAGCTGATTTAATCAGTTTACTGCCGCTAGGAAGCCAGCTATGCAGCGTCCGCATCTCACCCCACCCTCAGGGACTTACTGGGTACAAGAGCACCGAATGAAATGTGCTCACACAAGCTGGCGGTAACACAAGCCAGTTTGAGCGTCAGTCCATGGATGCCTATGCTCAAAACACCACCCATTGGCTTCTGGTTATGAAGGGCATAGGTTTTATCGTCTCAATCACACTCGATTCGTTTTATTCTCTGGCTTATTTCCTGTTGAGAACAATAGGACAATCTCAGGGTCAAGTTGAATACAGCATATTTTTTCTCGGGCTACATAACCTAGAGGCATACACTTGTATGCCAGTTGCTTCCGGTTCTGGGAAATCTGACTGACACACGCTGCGGCAGACTTCTCTCATTCTAGAGGCACGGGTATACAACCGAGGTGAGTCACTGTGGACGGGGTGGGGGCTGTCCAGAGCATACATCTACGGCAGGACAACGACGTTAGAAGGACGTGCTCCAGCCTCATCTTGTATCCGCCCTCCTTCCCCTCTCCCTGTTGATTTTTACAAGGACCGGTGAGGTCGTGATCAAGTCAGCTCATTTCCGGCTAAGATTGAGTGAGCACGACAGCAACTTCGGTCTCTTTTTTGCGTGTTTGTTGTGCCTCGTACCCCACTTCTGTACACACACACACACACGCTGATCCTCGATACTTTGAGACACTGTCTACGCGACTGTGTTTAGGTACCAGCAGTATGGATGTTGCTTGCAAAAATACATGGGAGCAGATACTTTGCCGAACACGCTGTGTCGGCTTATTCAAATGCATTATTCTCATATGATTGTGTATGCCCTTGCGATCTCCAGCCCTATAAGTAAATGAAAAAGTTTGAAAGTAGATCTGTTTCTCAGTAAGTGCTTCAATAACCGTGAAATTCGCCCAACAGTGACTCGAGTAGGGTGAATTGTTAGTAATTGAACAGATCTTTTGCAGGGACAATTTGCACCATACAATCTCTGTTGAAGGACAAACAACCTATGAAGCTGAAGTCCGAGTCTTTCCTGCGGTGTCTCCCCATTAGTGGTACGTGTAATTGGACTTCTCGGTTCAGGTTGCATAGACCTAAAAATTTGTCCCTTTTTAAATTAGAACTTGTCTACAAATACGTCAGCCTAGCTGCTACAGTCACATTAGCTGTCCGAAGTATCGTGTAGCTCAGAAACAACTAACCAGGAATTTTATGTAGTGAAAGTTATCGTCTGGCCCTACAAGGATTTTGAAAAGGCAAGTCAGTCAACAACCACTCTGCATAAAAAGGCACTTGATTAAGAAAATTGCTTACTAGAGCTTCCATAGGGCCGTACAAGGCATGGAAAGTGCGACGAGCTTATTTTCTGGTTAGCGAATTTATTATAATCTACTGATAAATATAAGGCGAACCAATTGGCGAAATAGACTCTTTTTCAAGCAACATCGGCGTTAACGGAAGGCTTAGCTGAATCTCTCGTTTATAATGGTTTTCAACTAAATTTGCTTCACAAAGGCCACCTTTTGTTTTATTCGAAAGTATAATCGGGATATCGATGTATATTTTCGTGAAACACCCCACCATTCGTATGTTTGGCGAACACCTACACAGCCCACTACCGACTGCACCCTTGGGACTCACCAGGCGGGCGTAACCCCGAAGAATGGAGAAATCGGTACTAGGATTTCGAAGAGTTTTCGGCAACCCCGTTAGTAGTACGCTATCTCAATGAAAGTAATGGATTATAGAATGTAGAGGAAAAGTTTTCAGCCATTTTTGTTTGCTGTGACAAAAGCCGTGTACTCCGCTTCAGTATCGACCACAGTGTAGCTGTCGCCTATCTCGAAGGATTGACTGAACAGTAGAATGTCTGATACACGTCAGTTTAAACACCTTTT